CCTGCAAATGAGACAATGCATTAACTTTGAGTGTGCCTGCTCTATAGAGGTGTTTATTCCTATCTTCCCTTCTCCCATTTCTAGCTACAAGAGTGTAGCATGTGACCAATACAAGCCAAAATGGAAGGGCACCTTCTCAGTAAGCCTCACAACACTCATTGCAGTAAAAGTAGTGGAAACAGAGAATAAAGTCAGTTTCATCTCAACTCTTTGAATAACAATATCACCCCAAAGGAAAAACCTACTCCTGTCAACCTCTGGAAGACTCAAGATTTCTCTTCAAAAAACACAAGACTCCACTGCCACTACAAGAAGTGTGGAACTCCGACTTACTCCTCATACTTGAGCTAACAGTGAAGGTCAATTGTCATTAATTCTCTTCTCGTTTTCTGACAGGTTTTCCTTCCTTCAAACCAGGCAGTAAATCACAGAATCTTAAGGCAGTTAGAAAGGACACAACCCCCAGTAGGTAAAGTCTACAGATCCTTCTAACTTGAAGAAACTGTAGAAGACAGAGACCTCCACTCTCTCAGCACCCTATAAAGAGTTATGAGGATTTGTGTCTCCAGATTTAAGATCTCAGAACACATGCACAGAACAGTTCCCAAAACCTTGCACATAGACTTCTCCTGAGAACTCAAGCAGTTTTCTCTTTGTTAAAAAAAAAGCTACAATTTCAAATCACGATAATTAAGGGGTAACAATGGTATATACATTGTGTAGTTATCTTCAAGTCAGTTACTCAGTGTGCAAGATGTCTGCATTTTATTGTCTGAACAATACTAGCACAAACCTTCCTCTCCAATTAGCTCAGAGAAATCAGTAGTGTAACTATCTTAAGTATCTTTTATATATAGTTTCTTTCAGCTTCTCACACTAGTGAGACATGATTTTTACACATGCATGTCTGATTTATTTCACTTATGACTATGGTCTCAAGTTGCATCAATTTACCTATAAGTTTGAGCAGGTTTTCAATAGGATGGCCTAGACCTGATGCCAGCCTAAGGTATGCTATCTCAACACTGCCTTTTAGGACTCAGATGTAGTACTCATGGGTTTCCTTGAAATTTCAATAGCAAAAAAGGACAGAGATGCTATTATGGCTTTCTTCACTATTAGCCTGCCTTGCTTTCTCTAGAGTGTTGTGTTGCTTTTGCCTTTTTATTACTTGGCTCAAGCCCACTCTGCAGAGCCAGTTTTTCATTAAAAACTTGGCCACTGCTTTTAAAAAATAAAAGCTGGGTATGGTGGTGCATGCCTGTAACCCCAGCACTCAGGACGCTGAGGCAGGAGGAACAGCTTTGTAGCCCAAGCTGTCCTTGGGCTACAAAGTGAACTCAAGGCCAGTCTGAACTGCATTGTGAGACCTGGCCTCAAAAAGACCAATAAATAATAGGCCAGGATAGATGACCCTGGTAACATGTTACTGTGATGCAGGATGGGGCACTTTTGGTATCCCTAAAAGTGGACTCCAGAGACATGTAGCCCGACTGTACCCAAACCTTTTATTATGCATGGATTATAAAATGAAAAGTGACTCTTCTATAAAGGTAAACTGAGAAGCTGGGCTTCCACTGAAGAAGTGTCTGCCTAAAGGTTGGAGCTGCACACTAACACAGGGGTAGGAGGCTGATTCCTAACCAATGGCTATGTTTCACACAGAGAATTTAGTCTTTGGTTTCTAGTTTGAGTGCTGGGTGCCCTGGGAGCAATGGTACAAAGCTGTCTTCCCCTAGCTATCGGCCCCTCAGCTTCCCTTGTAAAGGCCTCTTCCTGCTACTAAGATGGTAAGAGCTGGAGATTTTCCTCAGTGGTGTAAGTGCCTGCCTGCCAGGCACGAGGTGATGGGTTCAATCCCCAGTACCAAACAAAAAGAGATGGTAGGGGAGACACTTTTTCTAAATTTTAGGTTTACATAGTTCTAATAACCTTTGCATCATTAAGGGCTACGTGTTATTAACAGACAAGTTATCATTTTTAGCAGAAAATATCTGATGTCCAACTCTGGAAAGGAGACCAAGACTAGCAGCCCCATTTGAGATAACAGTTATAAAAGCAGTACCTTAAGAGTAGCCAAATTAAAACCACACTGAGATTCCATCTCACTCCTGAAAGAATGGCCAGGATCAAGAAAACCAACAACAAATGCTGGAGAGGCTGTGGGGAAAAAGGAACTCTCCTACACTGTTGGTGGGAGTGTAGATTGGTACAACCTTTGTGGAGGTCAGTCTGGAGATTTCTCAAAAAGCTGGGATTGGAAGTCCCATTTATTCCAGCTATTCCACTTCTAGGCATATTCCCAGAAGAGCTGAAAACATCATACCACAGTGATATATGTGCACCTATGTTTATAGCAGCACAATTTGTAATAGCCAGATCTTGGAAACAATCCAAGTGTCCATCAACTGAGGAATGGATAAAAAAGTTGTGGTATTTCTATGCAATGGAATATTACTCAGCTATAAAGAAGGATCACATTGAGATATTTATCAATAAATGGGCGCAGCTTGAGACCATACTCATAAATGAAATAAATCAATCTCGCATGTGTGAATACCGAATAGTTTCCCTAATGTAATGACTCAAATATATAAAAGTATGTTGTAATCATGATTCCCCATTATATGGCCTTGAAGCCTTATAGTTTTGGATATAGATATGGATTGTAAGAAGGGGGGAGGGTTGAAACTACCTAGTGATGCCTTTTGTTCAAAGACACAGTGATCATAGTTTCCTGTCACCTGAGCTGTACAACTGTCCTCCTTTTGGTGCTGCTGGGCACAGTGCAGGAGCCCTCTGGTTGACAATTCTTTTTAAGGACGCAAGAGGCATTATTAATTGGAAAGGCTTTATTCTGGGCTTCTTGATATGGAAATATTTGAAGCTACAGTATATGAAGTTATATTCAAATATTTCAAGGAAAAAGACAAGACACTATGGTTAACTACTATTAAGACGGGTTATTTGGTGGTGAAGCACTAGGTTGCTGAAACAGTCATGCTTTGACCTGTATTGTTAGGTTATGTCCTCTTTTATCTCAATCTCTCCCTTATTCATTAAAAAAAATTTGGTTATTTATGGTTTTTTTAATTAAGGGGGAAAATTAAAAATAAGCAGGATATATTATAGTAACTTTTTTTGATTTCCTATTAACTTGTTTTAAGTCCTGCAATACTCCCAGTATCTTGTTTTGACTGATTAGACTGTTCCGTTCTGTATGATAGTATCAAGTTTGAGGGTATAGGGAACTACTTTGAAGGCAGTAAGATTCACTAAGATGCCCATTCTGGTTTGACTATTATCTCCTTTGGAAGTCCTGTAATGTTTACAATGTTTAAGTTTTATTGGTCTTGTTCTCTACTGTTTTGTTCAACTTTATAATACCTGATGAGATAGACAATTCTTTTTAAGGAAGCAAGAGACATTATGGTAACCACTGTTGATAACCTTGTACTGTTTTTACATTATGTGCTATCTCTATCCTTGGTTTTGACTGACAGCTTTGTTTTGCCATATTTGACTTTATTCTCTTCCAAAAAAATAAGAACTAAGGAGTAATAAAACCCAAATGTGTAAATTTTGTTGTAAAAAAAAAAAGAGGGAAAAAAGTGCTCTAAAGGATACAACTGCAAGTGTGTTTAGGGGTGTTAAATAGCTGACCATATTAATGTTTTTTGGTTGGATCATTGAACACAACTGTTTGTAGTCTCTCTGAATGTCCACTTTGTATGCTTTGATACTGTGACTTGAGCAACTATCTCTAAGATAATAATGTGTAATTTATTAACTGGTGATTTCTTACTGTTTTTTTTTTTTTGTTTTTTTTTTTTTGTAGTTCTGTATTACTTGTACTCTTACACCACTTTGGTTTTTTTTTCCTTTTAAATAAAATTTTAAAAAAAGAGTAGCCTTGGCCTAGGCAATCCCCTTTCTTCAGGTTCTGGGATTGTAAGAAGGGGGGAGGGTTGAAACTACCTAGTGATGCTTTTTGTTCAAAAACACAGTGATCATAGTTTCCTGTCACCTGAGCTGTACAACTGTCCTCCTTTGGTGCTGCTGGGCACAGTGCGGGAGCCCTCTGGTTGAGAAATCACTAAGCTACTGTAGAAAAGCACAGAAGGAACTCTGTTGAGTGTCACAGGGCTCTAAATACTGGCCTTCTCCCAGGACAGTGATCAAGGGAGTGGGGGACACCCTTTTCTTGTATGACCTCAAAATCTCCCCTAAGAAACAGGTTACTCAAACCAGGCATGGTGGTATATCCTTGTAATCCCAGTACTATGGACACTGAGGCAGGACTGCTGCAAGATTGATGCCAGCTTGGACTACATAGTGATTTCAAGGCCAGCACATGAACTCCATAGTGAGATCCTGTCTCAAAACAAGCAAATCAGCAAATCCAGTTCCTGGTGCATACTAGGCAAACGCTTTACCACCAAAGTTCACTCCCAACCCACAGCAAAAGATTTGAGCAGAAAAAGGCCCAGAGGCCCATGTGCCAGTTTACTTCAGTCTCTGTTACCTGATCCCCCTGTGCTGGGATTCAGACATGTGCTGCCATGCTGGGATTCAAAACACATTTTATTGTATTTAGAAGGGCTGAAATTAAATGCAAAACATGTCAATTATTTGAAGGGGAATTACATCTGGCAAAGTTGGTTTGAAATGATTAAATTATGGAAACTATTCCCCTCTTATAAGCAAATACCTAAATGTTAATTTTGGTCACCAGAAGCAAGAACCAGAGATCCAGCAGGTATTATACATCTCATATTCAGATACACTGAACAGAATTAGACTATGTCTAGTTTTCAGTGTACCCTGTATATATCTTAAAGTATTACATTTGAATAAAACCACTATCTTATTTTCTCTTGGCTAAAAAGACAGCTTAAATAATTTGGAAACCAAGAAATATGACCTATCACTAGACATCAAGACATCCAAACTAAACCTTAAGGAAACAAAATCAATGCAGATATGGTACAGACCCAAAGTCACGCACATGTATTTTATTAGTTTCTTCTACAAGAGACAATAACATCAATCTTTTTAAAAGAAATTTCAGGTCATGAGAGGCCAAACGGATCCAAGGAAGATGAAAATTAAATACTTAAATTAATCAAAAGGCACTATACGATACCACTTATAACCTACTACCCTGGTGGCAGCAGGCTAAGGAAGATTAAACTACAGCAAATTACCTAATGTGAATGTTAATGACAAAACATGAAGCAAGTCATTTGAGCCCAAGGGATTATTTGGCTAGGAAAAGGTCACAATGGATGTAGCTAAAGCCAAATACAAAGGATTAGGTAGAAGAATAAAACTGTATAGGCAAGCAGATGATGGGTCATGCTTCTTCCTCCCAAGAAACATTTGCTGTACTATATTATCTTCTTCCCCACCTTCACGATCCCACCCAACAGTTGTTTGAGCCTAGCTGCCTACTCCTCCTGCCTTAAAGGCTCCTGCACTACAGGGATAGGTTTTGTAATTTAGGAACAAACTTGGAGAACTTGTCACACATGGGCTGGCTCTGTAGCTCGTTGTTCTGAACAAAGAACAACCTTAAAGTAGTCACACACAAAGGAATCTGAGCTTCCATAATCACATTTAAATGTCCTTAAAAACACCAAACTCAAAAAGTTTGAAATACTGCAGCAACTGAGCTCTAGCTAAAGCTGCAAGGTTCACAAAATCAAGGAAGGCAGATTGAGACAATGCAGGTAGGAAATTCCAGCAGTCAGTCTCAATCTGGCTTTTCCCAATTTAGGATAAACTCTAATGTACCTAATGTAGGATGTGGAAAGCTACACTGGAGCAAGCTGGGTCTTCCAAATCTGTTATGGAATATCAAAGGAAAACGGGATGGGTTGATTTTTATGTTTAAAAAGCTTTAGAAGTTATTCTGTTATAAAGGGACATGACTGAACAGGTAAGAAACAGATTCTCCATTGTGAGTTCTCCTGATAGCTTCTGCAAGGATCATGGAGATGTCAATCACCTAGAAAGGTAAGAAAAACACCAGGTTAGTAGTGCATATGAACACACCTTCCTGGCCTCTTTGCAGCCCAACTTATGGGCACCCTACTGAGGATCCTCCCAAGCCCATACTCAGCTAGTCTTCTCAAATTTCTTCTACTTCTGGTGCTGGGAATTAAACCCAGAGCCTTCACACTGGGTTATATTTGCAGTCCTTTTTTATGTTGATAGAAACTCACTGTATGATTAAGGCTGGGCTTGAATACCTGATACTTCTGTCTCAGCCTTCCTCAGTGCTATACGAGCTCAGGATAATTTTTTCTTAATTCAGGCTTATCAAAATGGTAATGAATTATCATTTAAAAAAACTATTAAGGAATAGCACAGCATTATTGGCACACTCCCACAATGCCAGTACTCTATAGGAGGCTGAGACAGGAAGATTGTCAAATTTAAGCCCTGCCTAGGCAACTTAGACCCTATCTTAAAAATGAAAAAGGGCCGGGATGTAGCTCATTTTAAAGGCCCTGTGTTTTAGCACTAGTATCAAAACCAAACCAAACCAAATAATCTAATAATTTTTTAAAAAGTGTTTAGGCTGGGCATGGTGGCATACACCTGTAATCCCAGCATTTGAGAGGCTAAGGTAGGGGGATCCTTGTGAGAGTTTAAGGCCAGCCTAGTCTACAAAGTAAGTTTAAGACCAGCCTGAACTGCATAGCAAAACTCTTGTCTTAAAAAGACAAAAACAACTAAGTGTTTAAACTAAAAAAATAAAACCTTTCTTCAAATAACAATCCTCTAATAAATATTAATTTCAGAAAGTTAATGGATTATTATAAACATTTTTAAGTGAGGTCTTATTTTTTTAGTTCAAGAACACTCAGACTTAAGTATTTGATAGTTATTTGAGGAACTATCTTAAATATTGGCTTTAGGACCTCTGATTTTATAGTCTTGAACGGAACAAAGCAAACATAATTTGAGAAACACTAAGGAGCATACAACCAGCTTAAATGTTTTACATTATATGTCCACAGGGGCTAGTGGTTAAGACAAACTCATACTAAAAGACATGAATTTGTACACTTTAACGTGCATTGGAATCATTGGGAGAGGCTGTTAAGATGCAAAATCCTAGGTTCTATTCTCCAGGTTCTGCAGTTCAGTAACAAGCAGTTTTTAAAATTTTAAATCACAGAAGCTGAAAAAAGCAATATGATGTATAGGTATATGTATACATGTACCATTGCTAGCCCCATGATTGACGTGTTTTGAAGTTTTGCTTTGTTTTCTTCTCTTTGAAATAAAATGGGATTTGAAAAATAAATAGTAAATTTTAAGTTACAGATTCTGATGACAAACTAAACCCTTCAGACCAACTGTAGGATATATGGTGGCACACATCTATTATCCTACTACTTGAAAGGCTGAGGTAGGATGTGAATTCAAAGCTTACACAAAAGAGACCTTGTCTCAAAAATAACAAAACAAAAAACTCTTTAAGACCGAAGAAGGAAATTTTCAGAGTCCAGATAGCTACTAAACATTGAGTGAGGTCTTGGTTTTTTGGAAGGAATCTCACCCTTACCTCTATCTTGGAGCAATGCTTCATCTTGTCCTCCTGAGGTATGGTATTGGTAACTACTACTGCTTCAAAGCATGCATTGTTGATGCGAGAAATGGCTGGGCCAGAGAAGATCCCATGAGTCAAGATTGCATAAACTCTGGTAGCTCCAGCTGAGAGAAGTCTAGAGGAAAAAAGGTTGTTTGGATTAATCTTATTTGTCTCTATAGAATAAGAGTTAGTGAGAAATAGTTTTTCATTCTGTCATAAAAGCACCACAAACCACATGGCTTTTAGTAGAAAAGTATTCCTTACAGTTCTATAGATTAGAAAACCTAAGATCAATGCACAGACAAGGCAGTTTTTATTCTGAAGTCTTCTTTTGGCTTGTTGGTGGCTGCCACCTTGCTGTGTGCTTACATGACCTCTTTCTGTGCACATGCACAAGGACCACGTCAACAAGCTCTCCAGCTTTCTTTTTTTGTAAGGAAAATAGTTTCAGCATGAAGGCTCTGCCCCTGAGACTTCAGCTAAACTAAATATTTTCCAAAGGTAATCTCCAAATACCAGGGGTTTAGGGCTCAACATAAAAATTCTGGGAGGCTACATTTTGTCCATATCAAGATGAAAGACGTGCATTAAGCCACTTCCTGGCAAGACTTACAAAAACCTCCCAAAGGTGATCTGTCTTCTTTTACTTTTCTACTTGGACAAAACAGAAATGTCATCCAAGGTAATATGGAAGTTAGGCATTAAAGATGTGGCATCATGAGACTGGAAAAGGCTAAATCCCTGAAAATGCATGCAAGGGGGAATGCTCACATTGGCATATGCCATGCACAAGAACTAAACTACCATGTTAAGCCACTAACATCGGGGGACAATCTGTTACACTAGTTAGCAATACCTTATAAATTAAGAATTTCAAGGATAAAATAGGTTGTACAAAGGTAAAGCTGAGGATCAAAGATAGGAAAGGAATGATTCAGCACTCGAAACACATTGTCAGCACCTAGTATGTGCCAGGTACAGACACTGTTTTTATTATTAAGAAGCAATGCTGTCTATAGTAGCCTGGATTATAAGCATTATAGAGCTCCTTAACATTCCATGGAATAGGACTGATGAAGTGCAAGCATAGTTTCAGGAAAACTAGCAGTTGCAGAGGTAATGTTAGATGGACTAGGTAAGTGAAATTGAGTAGGGAGGCAATTTAGAACCACACAGGCAAAAGATGAAAAGTATAATATGAATAATAGAATGACAGCTGCAATGGAAAATCAAGGTTTCAAGCTTAAATAAAATATAAATCACACACACACACATTATTAAGAGTACTGAGCTGGGCATGGTGATGCATTCTTGTAATGCCAGCACTCAAGAGGCTAAGGCAGAAGACTGCTATGAGTTCAAGGTTAGCCTGATCTACATAGCAAGACTGTTTCAAAAAAAAAAAAAAAAAACAAACAAAACAAAAAGAGGACTGAGAGTTATGAGAGAAAACATTGCAAACAGCTGGATGTGGTGGTACATGCCTGTAATCCCAGCTACTCAGGAAGCTGTGGACAGCCACCAACAAGCCAAAGTCTAGGGAATTCAGGGTGACCCTATAAAAATAAAAGGACTGAGGCTGTAGCTCAATGGTAGACTACATGCCTACTGTATCTAAGGACTTGAGTTCAAACTCCCGTATGAGTATAGGAATAGACTGATACTGGAACAGATAGTGGTAATAGTTACAGCACTGTGAATGTAATTAATGCCACTGAACTGTACACTTTAAAATGTCTTTTGAAAAAAGGAAAGAAAAACAAAAAAGGTTAAATAAAATGGCTAATTTTGTTATACAAAAGACATTGGGCATGAGCAGGGTGGTATGATTGTAGACAAATTTTGTTCTGCAGATATCACCTCAATGATGCTCTAAGTTTTAGGCTTCATGATAGCACAAAAGCAACAAGCACTCAGCAGAAGTTGCATTTGGAATTTGTAGCTATCTGTGGGCTGCAATATGCAGTGAGATACTGCTTCATGGTGCAGGGCAGCACAATAAGCCCTAATACCTAGTCAGCCATATGATCATAAGGGGAAACAACCAATACTTTACAGTACATCAGGTTGCTAAACTATAATAATGCACAGGATGGGCAGTTATTTTCAGTATACTGACTGGTGATAGTTTAAATTTACAATGGGTTAACTGAATGTACATGGATTATATACTCAGCACTAAAAAGCTAGGAGGCACTAAGAGTATTCATCAATTTATAGTTAAGATAATTCAAGCCTAGGGGTGATAAAAATCAGTTACAGAGTCAACAAGCTGATGGCATTTGACAGCAGCCATTCCCTTTTTACTTGTAACCACCAGCTCTGCTGAATTCCACTCACTTGTCAGCTGCGTGGCAAATTGTGCCACAAGTGTCAGCCATGTCATCCACAAGGATAGCCACCCTATCCTTCACATCTCCCACCAGCACCATGCGGTCCACTTCATTGGCCTTCTTCCGTTCCTTGTGAATCAAAGCAAAGTCCACATTCAACCTATCTGCAATGGAGGTAACTCTGCAAAACAAAGGACATTCAAAGTTAAAGCACATGTAATGTGACTTCATAGGGATTGGTTATGTTGCTTAGTGGTAAAGTACAATGTCTTGAGTTCCATTCCCAGCACTATCCAAAAAGAAAGGTGGGTGGGAGGGGTTAGTTGTGTGTGGGGTTACTACTCCTTGAAACCAAACAGTTCCCAGGGCTGGATGAAAGCAACTATCACAGACATCTCAAAGGCAAAACTCACAAACTGAGTTTAATGGCCTAATGCATCTATATTCTAGTAGCAGTTTAGGAATGTATTACTCAAAATTAGATGATCATTCTTTCTGGGTAGGGGATTGACAGACACCCTCACCAGTCCTGGGATGCAGTATAAATACTAAAGCACATTAATAGATTGGCAGGAGGGAAGAGATAAGAATTCATTGACTATACAGATGGTCCTAAACTCCCATCATGGAACACCGTGATTTGGGATGTGGTAGAGTGAATTAGGTGAACTTGAAGCTGGCAAGAGAAAAGCAGTGCTCAGCCTGTTCATTCCCCTCTGTAATGGTGGCAAAACATCCACCAACTGACAATGTCAACTGTACCTGGACACCAAGCTTGGGAGTTCCTTTTATAAATGCTAGAAAGAAAGTTATACCAATTATCCAAATTTGGTTAACTCACTGTAGGGTCCAAAGTATCTCCAAATCCAAACAGAATTCTGTTACTTTTTTTTTTTTTTTTTTTTTTTTTTTTTTTGGTCTTTTTTCATTTTTATCGGTACCAGGGATCGAACTCATGACCGCCTGCTTGCAAGGCCAGGTGCTTATGCCGCTGAGCTAAACCCCCAGCCCCTAGAATTCTGTTACTTCTTATTACAATGTAACACAAACCACACTAGAAGGTGGGATAGAAATCTTCTGGTGACAAAATACCATATAACTCATTTAAGCAGAAAGTGACTGTCCTGGTGAAATGTATCTCTATCTTCCACTGTGTCACTTTAGTCATGTGTGAAGAAAAGGCCTATGCTTTGGGTTTTATCTCCTTTTAAAATGTAGCACTGCTGGATGTGGTAGCATAAGGCTGTAATCTCAGTACGAGGCAGGCCAAGGCAGGGGGAAGCAAGAGCTGAAACTACATAACAAACCCTGTCTCAAAAATGGAAGCCCTATGATGAATGTGATCATTATGTATACCTAAATTATATCAATGAACAAAGAAAATGAAAGCAAATGAGCAAGCATGCATTGATCAAACTGCAGCATTTTGTACTGTTTTCCTTCTGACTATGGTCACATGAGTTTTGTTGGATGGGGAGAACCTGCGACCATACAGTAAGGTTTACATCAGAACTCTAGGCAACAATCATACCTTGATCTGGACAAATTACTCTCTGCTCTCCACCACTATTCTTAGGACATTAACATCCACTGTAACAATTTGCTTGAAATGATTTACTTAGCCAACACAAATGCATAATTAATCCAAGTGTCCCAAACCATCTACGCTGACCAAGAAATCAGAACAGGACTATGAACACTGCGTCACCTCAAACTCTGCCAAGACAGAACTGATAGCCACAAACTTGGAAAATAGCCCAACACTATAAGCCAAACTTTATAAAAATTATCAAAAATAGTAATTCATCTTCTGAAGATAGTTTTCCTGTACTCAATTTGCTTAATTTTCAAACGTGACTATTTCCTAAGCACTGACAAGACATAAAGACAATGCCTACGGAGAGAGTATGACAAATTCCAGCTGGAGGAGTTTTTTATGCTGTATCTAACATTGCAGATGGCAACCAGCAGGGACATGGGACTCATCAAGTCATACTTCTGATTGGATAACAGAACTCAAGTTCTCAGCTTATCAGTTTACTTAAAGTTACTGAAAAAGAGACTGCTGTGAAATAGTCATGGATGATTTGAATGGCTTTTAGACAGTCCTAAATTAGCTTTTCCTAATCATCTGTGTTCTGCAGCTCTTCATTTTCTTTCCACAACAAGAACGTATGTCACACTTCTGAATGCTTTACTAACGAGTAATCCACTAAGAAAATCAAGGGCCGTTAGTCTGCACCATGTGAGCCATAAAGCAGTATAACTGGCAATGAGTTTGCTTAAAATTTTAGTGTTGGTTTTAGATAAAACACACATTATTTTTCATCCTGCTTAATAGTTTGATCCCAAGGATCAAAATGATCTAACAGCATTATAAAAGATATGTAAATGCTTGCTTAGCCACTAAGATGAGGCCTAATAGCAGCTGCCATTTATTAGAAAATCAAATTTGTTACTCTTCCTGTTAAGTTTATAGCAGTGCTGTTAGCTCTGTAATGAAAAGTTAATGTTACTGTTATGGCTTGTATCTAGATATCCCCCCCGCCAAGCCTCATGTTGCCCTAAGTGGGGAGTTCTGAAGGTCACTAGATTAGGATTTTTGACTGTGGTGCTGATATTAAGGGTGTGCATAATGGAAGCTTCACTCTGGTTATAGGGGACAAAAATCAACAGCCTGGATGGAATATAAAGAGAAAGAGGGAACAAAGAAAGGCTGCTGCTTTTGCTTGCTGTTTCACTGTCTCCTGCCTGCTTTGCCATGGATTATTTTTCTTCTTTGATTCCTTCCTGCCATGGTACCCTGCCTTATGGCCAGCCAACTTTAGACTGAAATCTCTACAAACTGTGAGCTGAAATAAACTTTTCCTCCTTTACCTTTGGATGTCAGGTATTTCATTTCAGCAACACAAAAAGTAACTACAACAGTTACTGTACTCACAATACATGCTCACAATATTTAGGGGCTGCTTTTGTCTTGTTTACTTAGTAGTAATTCCAGCCACTAAAAGTAAACCGTATCTGTATACAACAGTTGTGGCTTGTGTCTAGATGATCCCCCAAAGCCTCATGCAGTTATAGATGGGACTTTTTCAGAAGTGGCTGGATCCAGAGTGAGTGATACTGGGACTGACTCATGGTGCAATGCTAGGATCAATGGCACTAGGATTAAGGGTGTGAGGGCTACCTGGCCTACACAGTCTGGATAAGATATAAGGGACAGAAAGAACTGTGGCTGTCCTTATTGCTTTGCCACCTTCTGCTGCCATGAACTATTTCTCCTCTGCAATGCCACCCTGCATTGGGGCCAGCCAGTTATGAACCAAAACTGCTCTGAACTGTGTGATAAATAAACCTTTTCTCCTTTCTGGTGAGAAAAGTAACTAAGAGCCCACATCTTACCCATAGATATTCATTCTAAAATACTAAATACAATGACATCACTTTGTACTGTAACTGCTGAAAGATTTTCTCAGTACATTAGAAACAATACTAATTTCAAATCATACCTCTTGGCTCCACCAGCATCAGGTGATACAATTGTACAGTTCCTCCACTCAGAGATATTTTCTTTAATCCACTTCAAGACAGCTGGCTCTGCATACAAATTGTCCACTGGGATATCAAAAAAGCCCTAGAGAAAGAAGCTGGGTCAGTCTTGCTTTATTTTCCTCCTCTTTCATTTACAAATGGCTAACAAAGAAATTAGTAACTTACATAGAGAATACTGTACTACAACAAAGTAATGGAGAAGGCATGGAAAATTATAAAAATGACCTCCTTAAACCTTGGTTGAGAGAGCGCAGCCAGGATCAGCAAAACCAGCCCTCAGTCACACTACAACTAACCACAGGAAAAGTGTGATCCCTTATAAATAGTTAAATTCAGCCAAGACTAAAAGAAAAGCCCAACCAATGTTCAGACTGAGGAGTTATTACAGCTTTATTCCATCCTATGTTGAGTTGCATTACCTCAGAAACCAGTTAGAGATGCTATGATATATAAACTTAGAAGCTATGCATAACATTTGATCACACAGAATAGTCAGAAAATTCATACTGTCATTCTAGTTTATATAGATTAATGTTTCAACTGAGTTGTTACTTTTCGATAAATTGGTATAATTCTGTCCTATGTATTTCATTAAATCTCCATAAATTCAAATTATGATATGAAATGATCTTTAAATAGTAGAAAATGTGGTATTCTACTCTCCTTACTCTGGATTTATGCACAAAAACAGGTTCCAATGTCTGTGGTTCTAAATTTAAGACTGAATATTCAAGGGGAACAATATGACAATAACAGTTCACATTTATTGAACATATGTCATGGGCCAGGAACTATTATGAATTATCTTATTTTTTACTCAAAATAATGAAAAAGTATATGTTTAGAGAAGTAACTTGCCTGTCATGGTTTTATGTCTGTGGCCCCCAGGCCTCATGCACTTGCATTGTGCATTTGTGATTGGTTCAGTTTTAGTGCTTGGATTGATGGTGTCAGTGGTACACCCACATAAGGGTGGAACTAGGATGTGATGTAATGTTAGGAAGAAGGTGTCTTGCTCTTTTGCTGGATTTTGCCTTGCTGTTTGCAGCAGCCATGAACTGCAGCCCACAATGCCACCCTGCTCCTTGGAGCCAACTGAGTATGGACTGAAACTTCCAAAAACTATAAGAAATAAACTGTAAGGATTTCCCAACTTTGGGCTTCAGGTATTTTGTCTCAGCAATAAGTAAAAAATAACTAAGACACTTGCCCACAATTACAAATCTACTAAGTTTAAGCACTAGTATTTTAACTAGGTCTGATTCCAAAGCCTGTGTTCTTCCCATAATACCAGACAGTCCCCCTTCTAAACCTCCCTAAATGACAGATCATGAATAATGCTTACAACTATGCTTAAGATAAATACCTTTAAAATGTTATTGACGCCCAGTTTACTTTGGCAGTTTTTGGTTCCTCTGCAGCCTTCACTGTCAATCCACTCCTCCCACCTTTCTAACCCCCGTTACAGTATTTAGCTTCTACCGATACCTGAATTTGAGAAGCGTGTAGATCCATGGTGATAATGTGGTCTGCACCTGCTACTGACAGCATATTTGCAACAAGTTTGGCTGAGATAGGAGCTCGGCTCTAAATGAAGTAAAAACATGGATTTGAAAAAAATAGAACAAAAGAAAGAAGAAATAAAACAGCCAATTTAAACAATTCATTCCCCTACAAAGTATTTTTTGTGAACCTACTATGTTTAAGGCACTGTACTAGAGAATTCATGGAAAAAGACGTGGCCACTGAGTAGATCATCTGGAAGAAATATTTAGTGAATCCTAATTGTTCCAACTCAAGAAACATTTTAGTAATAATTTTCTAGTTTTCATTCTCTTTATTTCCTCCTTTTATTTTATTTACTTTTTTTGTTTGTTTGAGACAGGGTCTCACTATGCAGTCCAGGCTGGCGTCAAACTTGTGGTGAGCCTCCTGCCTCAGCCTCTGAGGTGCTGGGATCACAGACATGTGCTACCATGCCTAGTCATCTTTTTCATTCTTTTTTGAAATAGGGTCTCACTATGTAGCTCAGACTGGCCTTAATCATATTATCTTCCTGCCTCAGTCACTCAACTGCACACCTGCTTTCATTCACTTAATGTAAAGCTTTTCAGCCTGTTCAAGTGCTTTCAATACTCATTTATGCAAATCAGATTCAAAATGTCCTTAAAATTATTTTATTAGAATTATTTAGTATACGCATACACCTGTGTATTGTCAGAAATTTAAAGATATGGAAATTGTTTCTTTTGTAAATTACACCACTATTTTAATCATCTGGAGGTAAACTTTCCAGCAACTTCAACCTCCTTAGAAAGCAAACTGGCCTGTTACAAAATAAAATAGTAAAGTCCTTACTATAATACGCTATGCTGACTGGGTAGAAGTAAAAATAGTTGACCTTTTTCTCAGGTGCTATGTGTAAACAAAGGGCATTAATCAAATTACAGCCAGTTGTGGTGGGGCACACCTATAATCCTAGTTACTCAGGAATTGAGATAGAAAGATTGCAATTTCAAGGTCAGCCTAGGCAACTAGTAGACTGTCTCAAAGAAATTTTAGGTAGTGTTGGAGATGTAGCTCAGTGCTCTCAGGGTCCAATTCACAGCTTTGGGAAAACAAAAGCTGGCCATAGTGCTGTACACCTGTAATCCCAGCACTGTGGGAGGCTGAGGTAGGATAAAAAGTTCAAGTATAACCTGGGTAATTGTGATTTAGGAAGACTGCCTCACAATTAAAAAACAAAAAGTGCTGCAGACGTAGTTCAATGTATGTTTCACTCTACCCCTCCATGATAAATTTTAAAATTAAAATATAAAATTTTAAAAGCCTTAAAAAATGAAATTACAATAAACTCGTAAAGTTTTAAGTAGATGCTTTATCCTTAATATACCACATAAGTGAGACAACTGCAACCAAGTATTCATATAACAGACTTCAAATTTTATCAAGTTCAAAATATCCTCACAACCAGGACCCTAATCTTAGGACACTTTGAATGGATGAATGATAGGTTTATAGCGGGAAGGGATTTTCTCGCTTTGGGGGGGGGGCGGTATTTTGGTCCTGGGAATTGGACCCAGGGTAACTAAAGTGAGCTACATCCCAGCCCTTCTCTTTATATTTTATACTTTATATTACTTATTATATATACTTTATATTATATATACTTATGTATTATACTATGTTATACATACTTATATACTTGTATATTACTTTATAGTAACAAGACAGGGGGGGTCTTTTTAGGTTCTTCAGGATGGACTTGAACTTGCAATTCTCCCCGAGTGCTAGATTGCACCCATGTGCCACACACCTGGCTTGTGTTTGGTTTTTGACTCAAGGTCTTGCTACATTGCTCATGCTACCCTTGAACTCTGGGGCTTGGGCGATTCTCCTCAGCATCCTCAGTAGCTGGGACTATCGTTGCACCCCATCACAACTGGCTAGAGGATATTCTACTCCACAGGATTGGTGCTTAGTCTTACTAACTGAAAGTTGTGTGTATGACTTGAATAAAATACAGAACACAAATACATCCCTTTATACAAAACCATATGTCTACTGCTGTGTCTACAGGACAATACCTAAGGAAATGTGATTTTTAAAACAGCCTATAAATGTATATCTGATAGTTAAGAAACATTTTATGACTCTGAGCAAAGATTCTGCTCCTACCTTATCCTTCTTATCCTGCCGGGCATAAGGGAAGCATGGGATGACCGCAGTGACTCGGCTAGCTGAAGCAATCTTGCAGGCATTAATCATGATCAAAAGCTCCATTAGATTGTCATTGATTTCACCACAACCACTCTGAACAATGTAAACATCTTCTCCACGTACACTTTCACCAATTTCCACACTAAAATGAAGAAAGATGACATTAAATAGATTTTTAAGCAATGCATTACACTTAAGGTTTTAAAAGCAAAGCTTCCCCAGGACCATGATGTGGGTGGGTTATAGCTCTATGTAGACATCGATCCCCATCAGATTTGGGGAAATCCAATGAAGGCCTAAAAGCAGTTTCGTGCCTCAGTTTATTGCAGGGTACTATACAAATATTTAGTCTCTACAAATGGCATGGGATGAAAAAAGATCTAAAGTGTTCACAAACTGGACCATAATTTCAGGGTGTGAACATGTAGTATAAATACAAATTACACATCACTTGTGACTGTTACATAATCCATACATAATAAAAGTAGAAATGTAAGGAATTAATCACCACTGCTCTGCAACAGTATTTCCTAGAGAAGACAGTACCACCTCTGCCATATTGGCAATTCACTTAATACTAAAAACGCTAATATGCTGCTAATCATGGTGCTAGGGACACAACAGTGAATATGAGATGCGGTACTTGACTTCCTCCCATGCTAACTGTACTCAGATCTAATCTAAGTAGTTTAATAAAAAATTCCATAGGAAATTACTACAATTATGGAGGGGATTATAAGCTTCACTATCCATACTTAAGATCTAAAAAAAATGTCAGGGCCTAGAGATGTAGCTCAGTAGTAGAGTGCCCTAGTTCAATCCCTAGTAGTGAATCCCCTCCCAAATAGCATATCCTGAATCAATCCGCTAGGTGAAGTAGGGGTGTTTGTATGTAGACAAGGTCAGAATGGTTAATAATGCCTACTGACCAACACTAGTTCAAATCTGAAGGCAATATACTTACTAAGTAAAAGATTCACTTTTCTTACAATATTGTTATCTTCTGTGTGGCTTCAGAAACTCCTATATGCCTGTCAAAATTACTTTTAGACACTAACTCTCTCTCCCCTAAAAACAAGTTTAAGAGGCATCCTGAAAGAAACTTTTCACAATCCGCAAACATAACTCTATTATGAGAAACTGATATAGGTGTCTTATTTCTTTGAGCACCTGTACTTCGAGTGTGTATCTTCCTATAATAAATCTTTCTCATGCGTGTCAGGGGCGTATACAAAAACTATCCAATACTCCTGAATTATAATTTATTAAGGAATGATATAGACTCATTTGTTTCTTTCTAGACCAAGTAGCTTAGCTATTGAAGAGATCTTACTTTTAAAAGGAATGCTATTTAGTTTATATTGCTTGTTTTTATTCTTATTTTATTGTTTGGGGAGAGGCAGGTTAGTTTACACAGTAATGCAAGAAAAATAAAAGCAAATGAAAGCTAGTGGTACAGGCTCAGTGGTAGAATGTAAGCTTAGCATGCATGAGGCCCTTGGTTTGATTCCCAGTACCACATACAAACACAAAAGCAAACAAATAAAAGATAAACCAATTAAAACAGGAAAAATGAAATTCCTGGTAGTCATTACCAAAAACAAAATTTAGGATTTTGTAGTATGGATCCTTGTGTTACAAAGACAATTTTTTTCTTTGTTTTTCACTTTTTCAAAGTTTATTGGTAATTTTAAGTATACATTACAATCACATTCATCGTAGGAAATTCATACATTATATATCTTTTTTCGTATGTCCCTACTCTCCTTTCAACTCCTCTTCCCCTTATTTACAAAAACCATTAGTTTTTTCTTTGTCCCTTCTTTTTCCCTCTCCCTAGTTTTCCTTCGTATTTGAATTTTTTCTTCCTTTTTCACAATATGCATTAAATTGGTCCTTGTTTACACTTTCAGTTTCTCACACCAAAGAAACCATATGATATTTATACGTGTGTGTAATTTATTTCACTTAAAGAGAATGTCCTCAAAAGGCATCCACTTATCTAGAAATGTCTCAAGATCATCCTTCATGGCCAAATAGTACTCCATTGTATGTAAAGCCTACATCTGCTTTATCCCTTCTCACGGTTGATAGACAACTGAGCTGTTTCCAAGTCTTAGTTATTACAAACTATGTCACTATAAACATGGGTTTGTGTATATTGCTGTGGTATAATGCTCTAAATTCTTTCAGGAATATACCAAGGTGAACAGCTGGATCCAACAAGACCTCTAGTCCTAGTTTTTATTTTGAAACAGGGTCTTATGTAGTGTAGGCTGGCCTTGAACTCCTGGCAATCCTCCTGTCTCAGCCTCCCCAGTGCTGGACTATGGTGTGTGCCACCACACCTGGCTAGTCATAGTGTTTTGAAGAATCTTCACACTGATTTCTACAGTGGTTGTACAAGTCTACATTCCTACCAACAGTGGAGATAGGTTCGTTTTTTCCTGCAGCCCTGCCAGTAATTATTATTGGTTGCTTTTTAGAAACAGGGTTTCGCTGTGTAGTTTAGGCTAGCTTTGAACTCACTATGTAGCCCAGACTGGCCCTGAGCTTGCAGTGGTCCTGCCTCAGCCTCTGTGACTGCTGAGATTATGTGACTGGTGAGGTTAGAAACATGCACCAGTATACCTGGTTTTACTTTACATTTTTCAACATACCCTATTCTACTCTATAGCCTCTATATACTTCTTCCCACTATTTGGAATGCTCCTCCTACAATTTTCTCATTCATCTTTTACGTCTAAGATAAGAACACCTTCCCAGACCATCTAATCAAATATGATGTCTGGAGAACCTGTAAGATTAAAAGTGATTCAAAATCCTATCAATTGCTGGGCAGGAGGATCACTATGAGTTTGAGACCAGCCTGGGCTACATTGAGTTCAAGGCCAGTCTGGACTACACAGTGAGACCCTATCTCGGAAAAAAAAAAAAATTACGTATCAATTGTGTGACTGCACACTTGGTAACCCCAGTTACATGGAGGCCAAGTGAGGAGGACAGACAATTTGAGGCCAGTCTGGGCAATTTAGTGAGACTTTATCTCAAAGTTAAAAAAAAATAAAAAGGATCAGGAGGTGTAGCTCAGTGCGCTTAGGTTTAATCTCCAGTACCACAAAAAAAAAGCAAAAACCACAAAAACAGAAGGACAAGCATCTGCTATGCAGAGGTCATTTTATCAATTACCAAGATACAACTAAAACTGCCAGCAGTGACTACTATGCCAATGGCAAAACTGCTTTCTGAAAACATTCTTCAAAATTTAAATAAACAGGCAAGGCACACCTTATATTGAAGACAGTATGAAGGAAAGGAAAGCCATCTCTGTTTTTATATTGATCGGAATTAATGTTGAAATTACAGGACTTTCCTACCATGTTTTTGATTCTTCTGTTTCCATTGGTTCTATCATGTTGTGTCTTACTGGATTTTATTATGTATGATAGTATAAACAAAATTTCCTGTGAAAAATGAGATAATATAGTAACCACTGTTCATTTTCTGTTATTTGGTTCTGAATACCCTTTCATTCTCTTGACTGGTTGTTATGTTTGATACTATTTTGTTCTGTTTGATACTATTGTATGTGAAGGTATGCTCAACTATTTCATAGAAAGACACTATGGTGCCTACTGTTAATATCTGGTTGTCCTGTGGTAAAGTACTGTGTTGCTTACCACTTCTGATCTGCTTTGTTCTGTCCTCTTTTGTATTGATCTCTTTTTAAAAAATTTAAAAAAGAAATTACAGGACTTTGAATATTAAATTTTTTTGGAAACTCAAATGGACAAGACTAACAACCTCCTAAAGGTGACCAATTTCTAAAAGTTACTCCCTGTGGTAGAGCCCAAAGGAGAGGCAGTGCTTATTCAGAGGGATTCCTTACATCTTTTTTTACTATTAATTGAGAGATACCAGGCTAACAAACACCTGGGACACAATGCGGTTTGACCAAGTATTTCCAATAATCTAATAACTTAAATCACAGAAAATTCTACACCTTTCCATATTCTTCTATAGTACATCACCCTACCTTGACAAAGACTTCCATTTCCTGAGACAAAAAACGCAACACAGCGATTTCCAATAAGGTCTACTTTGCCCTCTATATTTGGTGTCAGAGACCCATGCTTCTGTCAAGAAGACAATTATCTGGGCTCCAGGTATTCAATGGCCAGAGTCAGTTCTCTGATTAGGAATTAACAGTCCAATGCAGTTTGACTACTTATCCAAGGCAGTTGTAAGGAGCAGTATTAACTCTTTCTTCCTCAGGGCTTGCTTTTAGGTTAATCAGGCAACAACATTCCTAGACCATTTTTCTTATGGAATCCTGGAAACTTAGTGATACGTAGCTATAGTGATAACTGATAACTGATGAAAGAACAGTTGTACCCTAAACTTATTTTCTAAGAGAAACTAGATAGATAAGATCTAGCTCAGCAAATCAGAAGGCAATACTCCTACTAAACGTTCCTTCAAGTTAATGGGGTGTGTTGTCTAATGTTAGTTTTCCCCTCAGTCAATGCAAAACAAAACAGACTTCATATCAACAAAAAATTAAAAGCACACTAATACCTAGATCCATATCTAGAATTAATCTCTGAATCTCTGCTTCCTTTGTAAAACCAGGATAGGAAGAGTATTGTTGATAGGATTAAATACAACACATACAAGGTGTGGGCAAGGTGGCCCATGCCTATAATCCCAGCATTCAAGAGGGTGAGGCAAGAGGATCACTGTTAGGTCAGGGCTAGCCTGGGCTCTGCAAAGGGATCAAGGTCAGCCCAAATTAGAATGAGACTCTCAAAAACAAAAAAACTTAATATATACAAGATATAGCACAGAAACTAGCACTTAGCACTTGCTATACATTAAATATGCCTTTTTGTGGTACTGGGGATTAGACTCAGGCCCTCACACTAAGCTACATTTCCAGCTCTACCTTATTCAAAATTCTAAAACAAGGTTTTGCTAAATCCCTGAACTGTCCTGTCTAGGCTCAAACTTGTGATTCTCCTGCCTCAGCCTCCCATACCTTCATGCCTAGTTACATTAAATATTCTTAGCACTTATTATTGCTGCACATGGGTAATCCCAGTAGTTTAGGAGGCTGATGTAGGACTGAGTTCAACACCAGCT